GCTCTGGTCAAGAACGGGTTAATAAAGTCCTGTTTTCATCTTTTCTTTTTTCTTCCTGTGTCATCTCAGTGCTGCTCTTTGCAACCACTTCCTGTCTACATGCATTCCATTGGCTGCCTGCATGGCATTTCTCAGGGCATGGGTTTCCTGATGGTGACAACAGTGGACAATGCCTGTGTACTCTTTGTGGAAACAACCACTTGTAGTCTCCATCCGAAGCCTGTGTGACAATGCAGGAGCACAGTTTAGAAAAAGGGAAAGAGCGTTGTCACCCTATAACAGGAAGTACCATCAAAGCAGAATCAACAGATCATATTCTAATGAAATCTGCATATTAACAAAAATACCTTGAAATTATATTAATATGTTAATCACTTGCCATCCAGACGTTGTAATTAAATGGCCGGACAGCTCGCTTCGGATGGCAGGTGTACGTTTTTAAACGTCTTTTCCCGCTCCCCATGGAAAGTTTAAACATTTGAAGCAGCTGGAGATGGCTGTTACATACAAGCATTCGGGTGGCTCTATAGCTCGCATGGTGCCGGGGAGTGTGTACCTCCGCAGGCTATGCCGGGGCTCTGTTGTCCCCTGGCGGTTCTGTGTACATTGATCAGAGGGAGATCAGTGCACTTCCACCTTTTTATCCCATAGTTCTCTTTAGTGTCACAGGAGAACGTATAATAACCTCCTCCCGTGACCCTAAAGCTCAGTATATAGCGGGCTATTGCCTGTTATATACTAAGAGTGCCGCAGCCGGGATGGATCCTGGCAATATTGTTGAGATCCATCCAGCTGGCTGAATGACAGCGGGCTCTGCCTATCTAGAGGCAGAGCCAGCTGTGTTAGAACCGGCCTGTGACAGCTTCATTGTCACACGTCGGCTCTAACTATGAGGATGAGTCGAAATCACTCACCTTATAGTTCTCCTTTAAGACGAAAGTGATGTGAACTACATTACAGATCTGTGCTTCATCAGCTTCTATGGGGTCCCTAGGTGACATTAGGGGTCTAGTAGACCTCTGATGCCTCCATAAAGAGGACCTGTCACTATGTCTGTACTATCACATAGAGGGCTTGTTATATAAACGTATAATGTAGGGGGAAAACATTTTTATTTTTGGTACTTTTTTCTTTATATAGTAAAAAAAAATGAAAAAAAACCCCAGTGGTGATTAAATACCACAAGATGAAAGCACCTCAGTGCTGATATGAGATTTCAGTGATTGGGTTTACATCTACTTGAAATCCGCCATCGCTCATCAGTTGGGCACTCTAAGGGCCGGTTCACACCATAAAGAGTGCGTTCCAGAGCGTTCGGCCTCTGGAACGCAACCCGGCCAGCTTAATTTCTTTTGGGGTGGTAGGGGGATCGGCGGTGCATTCAAGTCAGTGGCCCCCCGCCCGCAGTGCGATCGCCGGCACTCGAGTGCATTCCACATTAGTGTCTGCGTTCCGGTCCAGTGCGATCTGCAAAAATGCTGCATGCACTATTTTTGCAGATCGCACTGGAGCGGAACGTGGGCACCAATGTGCCACGTGCTCGGGTGCCGGCGATCGCACTGCAGGGATGACTTCAATGCACCGCCACGCCCCCTCCTGCCCCAAAATAAAGTGAGCCGCTTGCGTTCCAGTACGTTCCAGAGGCCGAACGCTCTGGAACGCACTCTTTATGGTGTGAACCGGCCCTCAACAAAGTAGCAGAAGGTGTAATGAAGAGGAGATCCGGGGACACAGAACTTTACACACAGCAGCAGTCTCCTTCTCTGTAACATATTATCTGCAGCCCCAAGCGAGCTCTGTGTATTCATTAACACATCCTTATCAGGGCTCGTGATAGAATCTGCAGGTGTAAGATTTACCGCTGAATATTTACAGAACTTGTCAAAATTTTGTTAATAAAAATGGCAATTAAATCCAAACTCCAGCCTTCCCTTCAGTCTTGCACAGTTGTACCGGCTCCTCTCCTCTTCCTCTGATGTCACTGCACACTGCGAGCTCCTCACAATGTGCATTAGAAGCTGCAGCAAGTCAGTTAGAGCCCGCCTCATTTCCTGGCTTGGAGGACATCCAGCATCATCCAGCGCTTTCCTTCATAGCCTGATTGTCCCTGGCCCCGCCCCTTTCATTCATTGGATATCAGGGTTTTTTTTAGTCATGGAGGCTCAGCGTCACATGGGGGTGTTACCTAGCAAATGGAGTGTGCCTAGGAATGCCAGACTGACATCCACCCACGAAGGCATAGTGATATTTGCATAACTTCTCCCAAGAGCCGGCCCACTGTTTGCATCAGGGCTGAGGGCTCTTGCGAGGAGCACTGAGGCAGGGTGCTGTGGAAGCAACGTACAACACCCTGCCGACCCCTCCCACCACCCATGATCTGCTTGCATTGTATAGAGAAGAACAGCGACGCAATGATGACATCACAGAGTCTAAAATGTATTTATATAGTCCCGACAATGTACATAGTGCACATTCACATCAGTCTCTGCCCTCAAGGAGCTTACAATCTAAGGTCCCTATGCATACACATGGGGCCAATTTAGACAAGAGCCAATTCACCTTCCATGTCTTTGTACTGTGGGAGGAAACCCACACAAGCACAGGGAGAGCATGCAAACTCCATGCAGATAGTGTCCTGGGATTTGAACCGGGGACCCCCCCAGTCCTGAAGGCAGAAGAACTAAGTAACATAATGGGAACAGAAATAATTAAACATCATTAGCATGTTGATGAGGGAAAAGTGGAACCAAAATATCAGCCAATGAAACTTCATGTTGGAGCTGTGACTCTGCAGCTGACGGAAATCGCACTTTCCCCAGAATACTGATTACTGAAGTTATCATGACACGGCAAGTTCCAAGATGTCTTCCGCCATGTCCCTGAATGAACTCGGCTCGGCACAGAGAGGCCCGGCTGTGTCAGGTCACGTTGTAAAGATAAGGCCACCGATGTGTCATGGGCAGTGGTCAGTTTCCAGCTTTAGGTCTCCAAAGAATGCAAATGTCCCCATATTCTATCCTGAAAGTGCACATTGATCGGTCAGAAATGCCCTAAGTCCTGTTGTGGGCTGACAACAATACACGGCATTATCTGTAAAAAAATAAGTCAAGGCAACTGGACTTGCTGTATTTTTCCTTGAAGACGTTTCACTGGTCATCCGACCAGCTTTGTCAATTCAGAATGACTTGTACAAATGAGAAAGCTGGTCGGAAGTCCAGTGAAACGTCTTCAAGGAAAAATACAGCAAGTCCAGTTGCCTTGACTTTTTTTTTACAGACATACCATGACCTGGATGAATGAGAACCTTCAGACAATACATGGCATTGTTGTGGACTGAGCAGTGTAAGCCCTGCACAGTTGTCTTTTGCTAAACCTCTTAGCCACTCCCAATCTCTACAGCATAAAGACTAATCATACTGTAGACTGAAATAAGACATAGGAGGACTCTTTGAGATAACACAGGAAGTGCGCAGAGGACACAGGACAACTCTGAAGATTTGATGAAATTGTGCAGCACAGTGGCGTAGTGGTTAATGCCTTGCAGCACTGGGGGTCCCCGGTTCAAATCCCGGCCAGGTCACTATCTGCATTCTTCCCGTGCTTGTGTGGGTTTCCTCTGGGTATTCTGGTTTCCTCCCACACTCCAAAGACATGCTGGAAGGTTAATTGGCCCTGTATGTATGTGAGATAGAGACCTTGGACTGTAAGCTCCTCGAGGGCGGGGACTGATGTGAATGTGCACTGTGCACATTGCCGGTGCTATATAAATACCTGTAATAAATAAATACATTTTAGACTCAGTGATGTCATCACTGGGTCATTGTACTTCTCTATATACTTGTCGGCGCTACATAAATAATAAAATCAACATTTGTTTTCTGCACTTATGGAACAGATATAACAAAAAGCTTTCAAAGGTATATTAAAAAGAGCAAAAGGGAACAGAGAGCAGTTCATTGTTTGGGTTTACATAGAATTAAATATGTATCCGTAGTCAAAACATTGTTTCCTACTTTCTGGGGAAGGATTACAACCCTTTTTAGGTTTTACTTCTATTCGGAGCTCTGTTAGAGAGATCTCCCCTTACTTCCTGTTTTAGGGACGATGTTTTACCAGACAGGAAGTGAAGGGAACTCTGCAACAGGGAAACAGACAGATATATGAAGCTTTGCCAGGTTCTACCATCCACCTACTTAATTTTGACTTCTCTCTTTGTTACTGTTTGAGAGTTTTCTTCACTTCCTCTTTGTTGAAAAGGTTGTCCCCAAGACAGGAAGTAAGGGGATATCTCCCAAACTGAGCTCCAGGTAGCAGGACAACCTAACAGGAGTCCTTCCCAACTCCATCCAGAACTTTAAAACACTTTGTTTGGGCTACAGATACGCTTTAAATCCGAAGTGTAAATTTGCATCACATGGGAGTATTTTAAAGTGAACCTGTCACTATGCCCGCCCAGGTTGGCCACATTGTCTGCTAGTATGTATCACGTTTTCATGCTCCACCACCACACTCTTTACTTGCTGGAGTTCCAAGCATATCGACTCAGTGTCACCTGGTTGGGGCGGGTAAGGACCTTACTCCCTTTTTTTACATGACTGTGCTCAGGTCTAACTATTGGCTGCTCAGGTATCAAATACTGCATTATGGGAGGAAGGGGAGAGGATCACATGCTCCTACATACAGGGCTCTCTGCTGGCATAGCTGAGTAACAGTCACACCCCTCAACACAGAATTGTATTGTAGAGGAAGAAGGGGGGCGTGTCTGATCATGTTCTGTTACTGAGTGCTGATTATTTGCTGCACTATGGCCAACTCTTGAACCTATTGGCTGCACAAATGTTCAGGGAGGTTTCTGGAACAAAGGCAGCAGGCTGTCAGTGAACCCATTAGCCTCGTATGAGCAAGTTGCAATGCCCATTCTTACGATATGTAAAGTCTTAATTGGTGTGTATGATGATTTCCAAGTCTCATTTCCCTTTTGTTGTCTTTTTCACACACAGTTGGACACGGACAGAGCAATGGTGACAGGATGATAGTATCCGACTTCCATGTTTATGTCAGGGACAGCCTTCAGCACGTGGACCTCATGCGGAAGGAGCACCCGGATGTACCGCTGTTTATCTGTGGGCACTCCATGGTAATAACCCTAATATATATATATATATAATTACAACAGGAGGGACAAAGGGGTTTGGTTCCAAAAGAGGGACAGTCCTTCCAAATGGGGGGACAGTTGGGAAGTATAGCCAGCAGTGAACCATGCCCGTGTAATGTGGCCAAACTCCATTGCAAGCCCATGTGACACGGTGACAAGGCAGAAAAACCATTGGGAGACAGGGACAGTGTTGTCACGCTAAAACAGGAATAAGGACCCACGTGGCAGGATCGCCAGGGATTACTTTAAGGAAATCTGCAGATTTAAAATACTGAAAATTACTTTTGAAATGATATGAACACGTTGAAACCTCTATGAGATTCTTGGGTTTGTATCTACTTTCAAACATATTATTAAAGTACATTTCCTGTTGTCAGATCTCATAATAATAGGGCTGAGACACCATCATGTAATATAGTTAATTGCACATGTGAACACACCCTCCGTTTCATCATATTATTAGATATAATGTTCTCCTGACGATGAAAACTTTTGATGAAAAAAATGAAATATATAAAAAATTATCAAACCATAAATAAGATCAATTGTAAATTAGGAAATTTTGCAAATTTTGCCCCTTTTTTTTCTTGGCCTAGGGTGGCGCTATCAGCATTTTGATGGCCAATGAGAGGCCGGCCGACGAATTCTCTGGATTGATCCTAATATCACCGTTGGTGGTGCCAAACCCGGAGTCGGCGTCTTCTTTCAAGGTGAGTCCAGGATCTGTCCAATCCTCTTTGGTGATCTGTGCTCCAAAAAGCGCTTGTGTGGCAATTGTCTGGGCCATTGGGGTAAACACACGGCTGCACATGGCCAGGGCATATACAGAAATGGGTAGACGCATCATATGTGGCACTGTGCGCCCCTGTTATTTGTAAGCTTACTCGGTTCTAAACCCAAATTGAAGTCTCACACCTTTTTATTTCTTTATAGTGCTGTAAAACCCCATTTGGAAATGCCTTAAAATACCCTTTTACCCTTTTTACTGCTCCTGGCCCTACCTCTCCAGTGCCCTGCTTTGGCAGAGCTGAGTAGCAGCCACACCCCTCATCTTAAGTGTCCTCACCCAGCATTGTATTGCAGAAGAAGAGAAGGGGGCGTGTCATATCAGGCCTGTTACTAAGTGCTGATTACTTTGTGCACTGTTGCCTATTGGACTGCACAGTCATATTTAGCCCCACCCCTCCATCCTGCACAACTTCTGTAACAGGAAGGCGGAGGTAAAACAAGGAAAATTGAGAGTGTAAATAGAATATCTAGCTGGCTGCCTTTCTATCTCTGATACTTCAGTTGGGCTTTAAACCAACAGCTAAGAAACCAGGTACCTCTATTTGTCCCACAACAGGGATAGGCAACCTCAGCGCTCTAGTTGTCATGGAACTACAAGCAGGGGTGTCCTGAGGCCGGGTGTCACCCAGAGCTGGTACCAGGTGACACCCCACCGTGACGTCATCTTCATAAACGTGCACAATGACCTCACGCGCATGCGTAGCCATCTTGGTGATACCTGCCTGCGGCCATCTTGGTGATGGACGCTGGTAGAGACAGAAGGGGATGTTCACCCGGCAGGATAAGGTATGCCGCCTGGTCCCCTCCTCTCTCATGCAACTGTCGGGCTCTCGGCTCATGACCGAGTGCCCGACTTTTCAGAGGGGGTGACACCAAAATGACTGTCATTCATTTTGGTGTCACCTCTCCAATGGTACAGCAAAAGTCCTTTTAGGACAACCTTATGTTCATTTATTGAGAAACATGTCAATTGGAAACAAGGGGCCGGGCAGGGTGCCTTCATCAGGCTTAACATTGCCTAAAGAAGGGACCTTGCGTGGCTCACGAAACTGCCTTGTTTCCAATTTACATGGTTCTCAATAAATGAACACATGGTTGTCCTGAAAGGACTTTTGGTGTGCTAGTGATATTTCTTCAAATGATCCATGCAACCAGCGGCGCCATCCGCAGTCACTGCGAGCCCCCTCCCCTGTCATAGGGGTATCTGGTAAGGAGTGCAACAAGACCTTCATACACCCCTCCAGAGGTGTCACCCCCCGCACCCCCCTAGTGACGCCACTGACTACAAGACCCATGAGGCACTGCAAATCTGACAGCCACAAGCATGATGGCATTTGTAGTTTCACCACAGCTGGAGTGCCAAGGTAGCCTACCCCTGTCCTACAAACATTTTCTGGAAAGTTGCAGTTATGGGTTAATAGAAATGATATCAGTAAATGTATATTCAGAAGGTATTAAAGGAAGCCTTTCATGTACAAAACATGGAGGCGGCCATTGGTGACGTACTCTGAAAAACCAATCTGTGTGCCCGTCATGCTAATCCTCTGGCTCCAGTACCTCGAGTCTCTGATCCAGGACATATATGGACTTTTCTCTGACTTTTTTGCTCTAAAAGCCAGTAGGTCGGTATAAGAGCCACGGAGCATTTTCAGAAACATGTTCTCTGCAGCCCCCTTTTCTTTTCTTTCTATTAAGTTTTGTTTTAATTTGTGTTTTCTTAACAGGTGTTTGCAGCTAAAATTCTAAACCACGTTCTGCCCAATTTCACCCTTGGCGGCATTGACCCTAACTGTTTGTCTCGGAATAAGCAGGAGGTGAGAACATTCAAAGCTTTGTGCGGTTATCTTAGAGCTGTACCTTCACTTGCCTCACGTGTCGGCTTTTCGCAAGCCCGGCTCCAATCCAAACTGATGGGGGGAGAATTTACTAAAACTGGAGAAGCTATGCATAGTGACCAATCAGCTTCTCTCTTCAGCTTGTTCAAGGAAGCTGCCCATGCACCTTGCGATCATCGGACAAAACTTTTCCGACGATCAAAACGTCGTACGGCGGCCCCATCCTGCCCCGATTATCGCAAGGTTGAATCAGCGGTAGTTAAAAAAAAGCACCTGTACGAATTGCGGTAACCGACCGCACGTATTTTCGTTTGCGCATGAGCAGTATAAATCGTACGAATTTTTACGTACGGAAACGCCACTAACCTTGCAAAAATCGCACGATAGATCGAAGTTTTCTAACCTGCTGGTTACTCAAAAGTCAAAGGATTGTACAGTATTTGCGGTTGTACGCTGCCCATCAACCTTACGAATAGCGGACGAAAACGCGGTCGCATACGAAAATCATCCCATAATATGGGCACCATACCTGTGTATGGGCACCATTAAGCTTTAAAAATGAAAGCTAGAAGCTGATTGGTTACCCTGTACAGCTGCTCCAGGCTCCAATCTTAGTAAATTCCCCTTTTTGTCTTTGTTGTCCTATAATCTTATAGGCCTCCATACAATACCATGCAAAGTCCTAACAAAGACATAGAGGGGAATTTATCAAAACTGGAGCAGACAAAACCAATCAGCATCTCTCTTCAGTTGGCTCAGGTAAGATTTGAAATTGAGACAGAGAAGCTGATTGGTTGCTGTGCAAATCTGCTCCAGTTTTGATAAATCCCCCTCATTGTGTAAAGCTGAAACGCTACACAAAAAGCCAAATGTTGAAATATACTTTCATGAACTGTCAAAAGATTTACAACTCTGTCTAGCAACTTTTATGATTCACACACTTCCTCCAGACACAGTGGGTGGCACTATTTTCTCTGTTAGAGTTAAGGAATACAGTGGTGTCACCGACCACCCACAGCCATGGGTGAATGGACAATGAAGGAGATGCAACACACTGATAGCTTCACAACTCTGCTGTGTCCTCCAGCCAGCACCTTCCCTGCAGCAGAGCCTGAGTGGCTGCTAGTGCTGCCATTACTGCCCCTCCCTCTCCCAGTCTGAGTGCTGCCTTGCTGGAATGACTGGTATTCAGAGACTTATACCAGTTGTGTATGAAAAGGCATTATATTATTTTGGAGGCACTGCACACAGGGCCGGATTTACTTTTTCTGCTGCCCCAAGGCCAGGTTCCTCAATGCGCCCCCCCCCCAACCCGCCAAACCCCCTCCTCCATGGAGAATGGCAGATCTGCAGGCTGCATACAAGCATCTCGGCGACATTGCCGCGATCTCTTGTACAAAACGATTGGCGGCTTCCCGGCTGTACATTTAGCTCTGCTTGGCCAAAGCAGGGCTAAATGTAGAAAACAACTACCACCCGGCGCCCGGAACTGCATGTCCCGAGCATCGGAAGATAGGAATTCCACACCCTTGCTGCCCCAAGGCCGGACCTTGGTTGGCCTTGTGGGAAATCCGGCCCTGTCTGCACAAATGAATTAAATACAGTTCCTTTTATATCCTCCCCGGAGTTCAATGTTCATTATGCATGGATGTCATTGTCGCTTTTTGTTTACTGACAGCCAGCGACCATCACTATCAGAATGCAGACCGCCGTAACCCTGATCATGACCCCGTCTGTATTGCATCGGATGTAGCTGGTCACATGGACTATAATTCACCCGTCTACCTCATTTTCCGCTTCAGCTGGCAGAAAGGGGTTTGAAAGGTCACCGGGCTCTGAATTATACATTCTCATTCATATTTCACAGCCGATTTCCTCCATACGTCTACTCTCAGGGCGCACTTGACTGCGGACTGCGGCGGCGGTTAGAAAAATAAGATGAAAGCGGGGACAAAGCTGTAGATCCGTGTCAGGGTTTGGGAAGGACAATGACATTTACAGCGACTAGAAATAAGAATGTGGCGGTATAGGAAAGCCTACAATGAAGGTGTTATGATTGGAAGGGAGTCAATACATTGTGTAGCCAAAAATGCGTAGACATTAAAACTCACAGAAGGCTAAATAGGTACCAAATCCAGTTACTATTTGATGTACAAGTTTTATAAAAATAAACTTCCTTTACCTATTCTGACTGAGCCAAATCCTCCTTCATTTGTGCCTCAAACGCTCCCCTCCCAGACACTGCAGCTCAAAGTGGGCGGGATTCAGCAACACAACACAGGCAGTGCTGTCAATCCAGAAAGCAGTGGGTGGGATTAGGGGTCGCCAGGGGATGATTGACAAGCTGCAGGCCTTGAATCAGCAGTGATAATGTTGATAGCCATGCCCGGGGCCGTACCTACTTTCATGCCGCCTGAGGCCGTTGAGCGGGAGGGGGTTGCTGCTGCTGTTGGTCATCCCGTCCTTGGTGGCTGTGTGTGCGTCTGCTGGTCCTGGGAGAGAGGGGGTGCTGATGCTGGCCGTCCAGCGTATGTGGTGGGACAACCTGTCCCACCCAGTTCATAGACATCACTTGTTGCGAGGAGCAACCATCCAGAGAGTCTCGCTCAGCTCCCTGGTAACCGATGACATCAGTGAGCTGGGCAGGAACATGGACAGAGCGTCACAGGTTGCTAAGAGCTCTTAGCAACCTGGGACACTGTGACCACCCCCGCAATGAAGAATAATAAGGAGACCGCATTATAGGGATGGCCCGGGCCACGCCTTCTGCAACATTTTCTCACCCCAGTGTAGTGCAGGCAGGCGCACCCCACCTGAGGGTAACAACTCTGCTATGAATTCAGGAGCAGTGCAGCATTGTTGCCACCCCATCACAGGAAGCTGCATTAGGTGGACTTGACAGGATCAACAAGCATTTATAGAACCTTGCTGGGGGTTGGGGGGGGGCCAAGAGAAAACTGTAAGTGCAGATAAGTACTGCAGCATATTTTAATGGGAGGCCATAGTCCTACTTTAATCATAAACTTTTTAATGTGTGACCCTTTTCTCTCCTTGAGGACAATGTGTCATTCATTAACTGGTACACAAACATTCTCAGTGACTGGAAGAAAATCTGTTCTTGCCAATCACATTCTCCCTAAAGTGATATTAATGCCATTTTAATGACTCTTATTTACGGACGCACAGATAACGTTTTTTCGGTATCGAGTATAAGTACCAATATTTTTTTTCCCGTACTCGCCGATACCAAATACCGATACCGATGGTCCCATTAAGGAAGCCAGGCGCATAACTAGTATGGAAGCCATCTCCATGCTCCATCGTCATCAAGTGACGAGGAAGCATGGAGCCAGCTTTCTGGCCAATCAGGAAGCTGGGTGCTGTGTAATGACTCGTTGCCCGGCTTCCTGATTGGTCGAAGCCGGCCAATCAGGAGGTCGGGCAACGAGACATTACACGGCGCCTGGCTTCCTGATTGGCTGGGAAGCCAGCTCCATGCTCCCTCGTCACTAGCTGACGAGGGAGCATGAAGCCAGCTTTCTAGCCAATCAGAAAGCTGGGGGGCGGATAATAACTCCCCGTCCAGCTTCCTGATTGGCTGGCTTCCCAACCAATCAGGAAGCTAGGCAGCGCGTCATTACACGCTGTCCAGCTTCCTGATTGGCCGGGGAGCCGGCTCCATGCATGGAGCTGGCTGGCCGACCAATCAAGAAGCCAAGTAGAATGTAGTGACTCATTGCCCGGCTTCCTGATACCGAAAGCTCAAGTATCGGGCTAGGCATCGGAACATCGCCCAAATAATCAGCAGCCATTATTGCACCGGCACTGCTCCCTACTCTTATTGGTTGCAGTGGGCAGCAGGAAACTTTACAAATGTGACCAGGACAATGGCGGGTTACATCTCCATCTTCCACCAGACTATAAGACAGGAACAGAATGTTATAGCCGTCCATACTGCACAATGGCACAGGGAACTAGACTCTATCTCAAGGTTTCCCTTTGTTGAGCTCCGGGGATTTCTTCAATAATGAAGCCGTTTTCGGAGATGGAAGAATGTGAATATTTTAGCTGATACTTCAAAGCCAGTTTTCCAAAAACACATTGAAATTTTAGTGAATGGATTGAAATAATCCCATAATCTGGAAGAAAGACGTTCTGTGGGCATTATGTTATCTTGGCAATGTGGTGTATATGGAAATACACTGCTGTCAGGATATTTTACTTTAATATTGGGGGGTCATTCTAGTTCCGAACATGGGGACCTTTATCTGAGGCGTAACTACAGATCACGGGCCCCGTAGCAAAGATGTGATGGGGGGGGGTCCCCCTGTCAACACTAAGATCTCAAAGACTCTTCTTGTGCATCTGACGTCAGCTTTCCTACACTGTAGACTTTACAGAGGATTAGGGTTGTGATCAACTGCAACCACTCCAACCCTCCAACCCTTAATGATACAGGACTGTGCTATCTTCACATGTTCTATGTTTAATTTGCCTCAGCAACCTAATGGGGCCCCCTTCCACCCCCCAGGCCCCATAGCTACCGCCTGGGCTGCTATGGCTATAGTTACCTCACTGTGTACAGCAGTTGTGAAGCAAAGTTGACCCTACTTCTACTGGTGGATTAGCTCATTACTTTGTGGCATTTGCTGCAAGAATATGTCAAATAAATGAAATAAATAAAATTGAAATAAAATAAAGTGTCTGAATGGAAGTTCACGTGTCTGGCACAGTCATTTTAATATTGTTGTTTGTCTGTCTAGGTGGAATGTTATGTCACTGACCCCTTGGTTTACCACGGCGGACTGAAGGTTTCCTTTGGAGTGCAGCTCCTCAATGCCACGGCCCGGGTGGAGAAGGCGCTCCCGCACTTCAAGCTGCCCCTGATACTGTTCCATGGCACCGCCGATAAGCTTTGTGATTTCAAAGGCTCGCAGTTCATGATGGACACCGTCCCCAGCGAAGATAAAACACTAAAGGTAAATGCATGTAAAACAACAATGAAAAAACAAATATCGGGATACTAGTTTCTATTTTCTAATCTGCTCCAAAAGGGTGACGGCTGGAATCTGAGAGCGGCACGGATATATTCATTTTCAGTTTTAGAAGAGCTTGTGTAGAGGTTGGAAGCGTGCAATTGTCTAAAATATGTTTGTTTGCTGTAGCATTAACAGTACTTGTCAATGGAAGCAATCATTTTGAGGGGTGGGGAGGGTCCAAGTATTTTTGGCCATATAAAGACTGTACGTTCCCTTTAACGCTGACATACAGGCAGCATCCGCCAAGCATTTTTATAGCTTAAAGCTGAACTATAGGTATATATAAAAGACACAAATTGTTATCATTCTTCCTGCTAAGAAGCGGCTCTCATTGGTCAGCACGGTCAGGTGACTGCGCTAACTAATGAGTGATGGCCATTTGCGAGCAAAATTCAAAATACAGACGCATACGCTGCCATGTACGGAGTATGGATAGCATACCGTCCCCGGTGAAGGGGAAGGAGCGTTCGGCTAAAAGTAAGTATAGCAGGCAGGGGCGTAACTAGAAATCACAGGGCCCCATAGCAAAATTTTGTATGGGGCCCCATGATTTCTAGTTATACTCCTTGCAGAGCCCACCTGAGGGTGAACCTGCAGAGCCCACCATATGCTCTCTATGGTGGGCTATGCAGGGTCCCCCTCAGGTGGGCTGGTCGAACTCCTTACCTGTCCACTTCCTCTTCATACACGGTCGCTGATGGGCCCCGCCTCCTCCCCCGTTGCCAGGCCCGCCTCCTTCTTCGTCACAGGGCCCCGCCTCCTCCTCCTCCACTGCCGGGTCCAGCCTGCTCCACTGCCGCTGCTGGCTCTCATTGACTCTGTGGAGAGGAACGCGCTGCTGCACAGATTACTGTCAGTGATCTGAACAGCGGCGTGTTCGTCTTCAGCCGCCAGTGAAAGCCACCAGCAGAGGATCCCATAGCGACCCAGGCGGCCCGCACGGCATCTGCCCGGGCCCCACTGTGCCCCGGGCCCCATAGCGGCCGCCTGGGTCGCTATGGTGATTGTTACGCCACTGATAGCAGGAGAGGGGCGGGAAAGCGGTGGGGGTTGTTTAGAGGGGTCCAGATTGGTTGAGGTAATTACATTTTCCCAAATTCACCTGGAAAAGTGGAATTACCCTTTAATACATCATTAAATGTGTTTTTAAATGTACACCATGTAAGTACCTTTCACTGTACAGTAGCAGGGTGGGTATGGAAGCTGTAAAACTGCAGCAGAGGAAAATCAAGTGCCCTCCGCTGCTGGGCAGGGCTTTGTTGTGTGGAAGAGCTGTGTAAATCTCAGGGCTGGATGAACAGAAATGTAAATCTTTTGACAGGTAAAACAAATCTTGTATACCGTATGTATCTCTTTTGTGTATTAAGCTGGTTGCCTGGAGTTCAGGACTGAACGGCTGACCAGCCAAGCTTGTTGTTTTACATTGATGACGGCACATATTAGCTCAGTTGATAACGCCCAGCCGGTTTCCAGCTTCACTGGTGGTGATAGAGCAGCACTTGGAAGTCCTCGGTTCCATTAATAGTTGGGAAAACTGTTTACAGTTAGGGATCGGCACAACTCGGAGTTTCCGTGTGGAGCAGATGACTCAGGAGTCATTGGGGAAGGCAAAATTAAAGGGAAATACAGTGGAAAACATTATTAACCCTTACAGTGGGGCTACCCCATGCACTGCAAGGGTTAAAAGTTAATTGGTGTAAAGGTTAAAAAAACTCACCTGAACCTCTGATCCGTCCGGCTGTGACAGCACTCCCTCCAGCCCGTCTCGTCCTCTCCTCTGCTGCAGTAATGTTATCCTCACGTCCTCTACACTATATGATGACTCAGGGACCTTAGACTGCTGCAGCAGAGGGGGAGCAAGGCAGAAGGGGCTGATCTAAGAGCAAGCCGACTCCGAGGATCGGGTGAGTATAACTTTTTTTTTTCCTAGACACAAACGAGCACTTAATCCTTGCAGTGCGAGGGTAGTGCAAGGGTTAAGAATTTTTATTTTCCCCCGGAGTTCTGCTGTAAGGTGGTTTTGAAAGTTTTAAAGGGTGCAATAACTAAATGGTTCTTGAGGGTTGAGGAAGACTTCTTTAAATGTACAATTTGACACGGTGAACTCCTCGGGGGCTGGGACTAATGCAGTGATGTGTGCTAGAAAGTGCTGCAAGAATATGTTAAATAAATAAAATACATTTAAAAAAAATAATTTACAAAAAATATATATTTATTTATTTATTTTAAACATGCCATATCGATGACATCAAGAAAGTCTGTTATGTCAAAGAGGGAAATCCAACATCAATTTCCAGTATTCAGACGCTGATCCCTATTTATTGGGATCTGCTGACGTTTCTTTTGATGCTGTATGCACGGCCTGTGCCCAGTATATACACTTGTACGAGTGAGTATGAACTAAATATGGGAAATTGAATGTACAAGCTGCACATCATCTTGTTAGAGGGATTTATGTCTACGGATGATAATATCCAGCTGTCACAATGACTGCGGGCACTCACGGTTTGCGCTGCAGCCAAGATATAAACTCTGCACTGTAGATACCATCTGTGTTGGTATTAATAATTATATTACAGTTGTCGACAAAAGGCTGAAACACCAGCGATCCCTACGCCACACATTGCAACACGTAGACCAGTTTACAGTGACACCTGTACAGAGAGAAAGTCCGGAGCTGGCATTGATGCCCTGCTTCTGAAGATGCTAGGTGCCTGGCTGCCTTTGGTTTTACTTGCTAACATGCTGATTAGGAAACTCCTGAACTGCATACTTATCTGGGGTTAGGGCCTCAAAGTACTGAAGTAGTTAAAGCATTTATCAAAGGGAAATAGCAAAAAAAACGTATTCTTTTACATCTCTGGAATACTTGCATATTACCCCAATAACAGTGCAAATACAGGTAAATAAGTATTGGTGTGCCAGAAATATATAATGTGCCCCTACCTTCCACCTTGATATGATAGTGCAGCTCTGAATTCCTATGTGGTGTCAGCCCTGCCTACTTCACTTCTGTTGGATTACAAAGACCACAGACCTCTCCTTATCTCAATAACCCTTCCTCATCTCCTCTCCCATCCTCATCTCTATGCCCCTCCTTACATCCATACCCCTACTCTACTCTACTCCCTCCTTCTCTCCATAACCCCTCCTCTTCTCCTGATCCCTCCTTCTCTCCATAACCCCTACTCTACTCTACTCCCTCCTTCTCTCCATAACCCCTCCTCTTCTCCTGATCCCTCCTTCTCTCCATAGCCCCTCCTCTTCTGCTCCCTCCTTCTCTCCATAACCCCTCCTCTTCTCCTGCTCCCTCCTTCTCTCCATAACCCCTCCTCTTTTCCTGCTCCCTCCTTCTCTCCATAACCCCTCCTCTTCTCCTGCTCCCTCCTTCTCTCCATAACCCCTCCTCTTCTCCTGCTCCCTCCTTCTCTCCGTATCCCCTCCTCATCTCCTGCTCCCTCCTTCTCTCCGTATCCCCTCCTCATCTCCTGCTCCCTCCTTCTCTCCGTATCCCCTCCTCATCTCCTGCTCCCTCCTTCTCTCCGTATCCCCTCCTCATCTCCTGCTCCCTCCTTCTCTCCGTATCCCCTCCTCATCTCCTGCTCCCTCCTTCTCTCCGTATCCCCTCCTCATCTCCTGCTCCCTCCTTCTCTCCGTATCCCCTCCTCATCTCCTGCTCCCTCCTTCTCTCCGTATCCCCTCCTCATCTCCTGCTCCCTCCTTCTCTCCGTATCCCCTCCTCATCTCCTGCTCCCTCCTTCTCTCCGTATCCCCTCCTCATCTCCTGCTCCCTCCTTCTCTCCGTATCCCCTCCTCATCTCCTGCTCCCTCCTTCTCTCCGTATCCCCTCCTCATCTCCTGCTCCCTCCTTCTCTCCGTATCCCCTCCTCATCTCCTGCTCCCTCCTTCTCTCCATAACCCCTCCTCATCTCCTGCTCCCTCTCCTCCCCCTCCTCATCTCCATAAACCCTCCTCATTTCCATAGCCCCTCCTTATATGCAGGCAGTGAGTACAGAAAGTTATCAGCTTACAAGATTTATGGCAGAATGAACGGGTATTATTTGCACTTATGTATCAGATATGGCAAAACACTTTCAATGGTATTTTTAACAAACCAAAAGGGAGCCAGTAAGAGAAGCTCATTGTTAGGGTGTACATACACTTTAAATTGGCATAATAGCCAGGTAACCACAATTTCCATTTTTAATAGTGTGACTGGGGTCTTAACCAATCGCCACAATTGTTATTGGCTTCACATGCAATTCAAAATGTAAAGAAGATGTCATGATGTCCATTCATCCTACTTCTATGCTTCGCAGGTGTATGAAAATGCTTTCCACGTTTTGCACAAAGAACTTCCCGAGGTGACAAATGCCGTGTTCCAGGAGATCAAGAGCTGGATGCTCCAAAGGCTAGAGGCGTCCGCACCAGCTACGGTGACAACAGAAGGGACAAAAAGTACTTAGGGGCCACTACACCCAACAACGTCCTGATGGACTCTCGCGTCCTCCCATAATAGCCTACTTCAAACTAAGCCTCCATTCAAGTCACTTCTCAGCTGAGCCTCCACGCTATACTAACTCCTCTTCCTAATGGCCTCCAGCTCCGATTTCCAAGTCACAGGAAACCACCACAGGGAACTCTGATGGCGTAGGACAACACTTGACAAAGCACAAGAAAGCCACAAATGCAGCCAATGGAAATCTCTCGCCGCACTCAGCTGGGGTGGATGCACAAGAGGACCGCGGGAGATTTCAGCTCGCAGACAATATGTCTCTACGAAGGATTTGGGCATTTAAAGTTCTCAGCAATAATTTTACAATGTGCATCCACCTTCCCGGAAGCCTTGACTTCACCGGAACCGCATAGAGGAAAGACTCCCGGGTCTACAAAGAAGCCTCGACCTGTCACCGTAAAGCACAAAAAGCAATACGATCTCATCGTCCGTAGGAAGAAAACAAGAATGTATATCGCGCCGTTTGCTTGTTTTTGCTGGCGGACCTCCGGGGAAAAAGCGACACAACTGTGTTTTTCAGATCAGCTGTGAAGGAATCCTTTGTACATATTCCCTTTTACCTGTTTTAATAGATTTTATTACACATTATATATATAAAAAAATAATAATTTAATATGTTAATATATTTTCTGCCTGTGTAGGACAAGGCGGGGAAAAAAAAAAACCGTACCGGTAGGTTTTTTTAGATTATTTTTTCAATTCTAGAAAAAAAAGTAAATTTGTGGCCTTTTTGCCTGCTAACCGCTAATGTATGTAAATTTTTTATCTGACCAAGAAGACACAGTGATTTCTGTTGGGTAATGTGCTTTAGGTTATCTTTGGCCGCAACAACAACAACAAAACATAACTTGAAAAATACACTCCGGTGGAACACAGAAGGTTATTATTTAAAGTGAACCTGTCTTCTTTAGATGTTACTAGCTCCATAGTAATGTTAAGCCTTTGCATTCCCTACTCGGTCACAGATGGAGTGCTCTGGGTCGGGGAAGAACTACAGCTTCCTGGAAGCGTTGCGTGCAGGGAAATGTAGCTCAGAGGGTGGAAGATTGCTCAGAATGATGTTGCCCCATCCAAGGGCACTCTGAATGTCCTGCTATCTTTCTGAAAATACTTTGCTGTCATGCTCAGACTACAACCGGGGCCGGACTTACTCTCTCTGCTGCCCCAAGGCCAGGTTCCTCAATACGCCCCCCTACCCGCCAACTCCCCCCCCATGGAGAATGGCAGATCTGCAGGCTGCATACAAGTGGTCTCAGCAACATCAGCGAGATCACTTGCACAAGACAAGCGGCGGCTTCCCTGCTGTACATTTAGCTTTACTTGCCCAAAGTAGGGCTAAATGTAGAAAACAACTACCCGCCCGGCGCCCGGAACTGCATGTCCCGGGCGTCGGGAGATAGGAATTCCACACCCCTGCTGCCCCTCTACTCCCTGCTGCCCCAAGGCCGGGCCTCGGTTGGCCTTGTGGGAAATCCGGCCCTGACTACAGCCTAGGTGCTGATTGTGTCACTAACCCAGAACAAGTAGGTGCCCAGGTCCGATAAAGTGTCAGAGGTTCAACATTAAAGGGATGTCCTCGGTGCAGACCTAAACGGAAGGATGAGCCAGAGCATCTCAAAGCACATATTTCGGTCATGAAGGGTTCGCGTTACAGAAACTGGACTGGACTTGTCTGCGTCAACATGCTTTGGGCTTGTGTCGATGGGCAAATGCATCTTGCTTTCAGGTGCATGCATTTGAAAATCAGTTTGATATGCCTCTGAGATCATTCAGAGTTATTTAACAGGTACATTTGACCTGCAGTTGATCTTCTAACCTGCTGCTGACTTGCTTCTATGCAGCATTAACCGGCATTTGTGCTCTTCCTGACTTGTATGGGGAGAGAGGCAGTTCTGATGTAATCAGCAGCCCATCGACAGGGCCGGCCTTAGGCCTTTAGGCGCCCTGTGCGAGAAAGCTTTACATCCATCGACACAGGGCTAAGTTTTCTACAAAATCATTGACTCCTGGATAGTGTCCACAGTTCACTAAATGATCCCACTTGTTCCTGGAGTTTACCTTTAACCAATAAGAAACTATTGAAGATATCCAGAACGCATGTAGCAAGCCTCAGGCCGCTGTCCACCTTGGGACAGTATCAAGAAGTAGCAGCGCCCCGAGTCAGGATAGGAATATAATCAGTTTGTAGGTAGAATTGCTTTTATGCCATATCTCTTTTTGGTTGCGTATGGCCTTCAGTGCTACATTGCTCCTGGAGTTCACCTTTAACCAATAAGAAACTATTGAAGATATCCAGAACGCATGTAGCAAGCCTCAGGCCGCAGTCCACCTTGGGACAGTATCCAGAAGTATCCCCGAGTCAGGAAAGGAATATAATCAGTTTGTAGGTAGAATTGCTTTTATGCCATATCTCTTTTTGGTTGCGTATGGCCTTCAGTGCTACATTGCTCCTGGAGTTCACCTTTAACCAATAAGAAACTATTGAAGATATCCAGAACGCATGTAGCAAGCCTCAGGCCGCAGTCCACCTTGGGACAGTATCCAGAAGTATCCCCGAGTCAGGAAAGGAATATAATCAGTTTGTAGGTAGAATTGCTTTTATGCCATATCTCTTTTTGGTTGCGTATGGCCTTCAGTGCTACATTGCTCCTGGAGTTCACCTTTAACCAATAAGAAACTATTGAAGATATCCAGAACGCATGTAGCAAGCCTCAGGCCGCAGTCCACCTTGGGACAGTATCCAGAAGTATCCCCGAGTCAGGAAAGGAATATAATCAGTTTGTAAGTAGGATTGCTTTTATCCCATATCTCCTTTTGGTTGCGTATGGCCTTCAGTGGCCCATTGCTCCAAATGGTAACGAGAATGTAGACACAGGGAATGCCAAGTCTATGCTTCCCCATAGGAATTGCCGGAAACACCTCTTCCTCCGTCTCATGGAGTGTAACAGCGGGTTAGAAGTCTTTCTATAGTGTAGCAAAACCAACGAGAAATAATAGTTACCAAGTTAATGGCAAGGTTTGCCCAACATGCAGTGTCAAATGGGTCAGAGCAGATGGCATTAGATTTTGAAGGCATCTGCTCAGGTTGGGCCTGTGGGTCCAGGTTATAAACATCCTTTGTGAGTCACTGGCGCATAACAGACGTTTCAGACACCTGATATACTTTATATATGCTTGTTCCAGGTCAGTGACCAAATAGGATAAGGACAGCCTGCCTGTGGCATTGCCCCACTTTCTAACCTGACAGGTTCTAAATGGGCAAAGCCTCCTAGTGGCCCCATCCACCAACCCACTTATACTCCCATGATGCTCTGTTCCTGCAGAAGGCAAACCCTGGGTAATCTTCTTGTTGGATAGTGTTAGAGGTGGCGCAGAGTTGATGACATCAACCTTCTTCTTTAAGTGTTTGGGTGATCCAACACTATCCTGGAGGGAGGTCCCATGTTCCCCATAGTGTTGGGTAGTTATGATGACTGTGATGGAGGAACAGAGGAGTGGAGGAGTAGGGAGTATAAATGGGTGGGAGCAGGGGCTAGTAAAGGAATATGCAGCTTTTTTCATTCATTCTCATTTAGGCCTCGTTTACATGTGAGCCGGCCCCTGAAGAGCAGTGGATTGCTTTTCATAGGGCAGTTGAAAAACAGGTATCCGGCATTCAGGGGGCAATACTGACACCTCCTGAATGTGTTTTTTTGTATCCCAAGGGGCATTTTCCACGGAACTACCGTGTGCCTCGTTCACCTCTATAATCCACCTCTATACATGCTGTATCATTTTTGCCTGGCCGCAGAGCATCAAGGTTGTGGCAGCACTGTACAGCAATGCCTGGCTGCAATGTTGACTTTGCAGCGGTTGGCCAGGGAACAGTAAGGCTGGGTTCACACCTGGGCGTATCGAATATGCGCGTTTGTCGCACGTTTTGTGCCACGCGTTTTTACTGCGATTTGCGGTTTTAAAAAACGCGTGACAAACGCGTGTTTCCGAGGGCTACCTGGCTGTATCCCAATGGATAAGCGCGGCAAATACACCCCAAAGAAGCTCCTGTACTTCTTTGGGCATAGTGCGTTTTGGCGCGTTACTACGCGCTTTAAAACGCCCAGGTGGGAACCATGCCCATAGGCAATCATTGGTTTTCACATGTTGAGCATTTTACAGAGCATAGGAACGCGCTGTAAAACGCCCAGGTGTGAACCAGGCCTAACAATGCAGATTGGCAGCCTGCTTTTACTGCCCCACGGCAGCACGTGTAAACGAGGCCTAAGGGTTAGTGCACACGGGTTTTTGACTCTGTTGACTTGCTCCTGTAAGACACTTGTGAAAGATCTGGAACACAGTTTTATTTAAATTGCATGGATTGGCGTTCACTTGCATTTATTGCGTAAATGTAGCATGTCCCCATCTGCTGCATTTTACTACTTTTATACCTCTGTTCTTGTCGGTAGGAAAACAGCGTATCTCAAAAGCAAGTCATTTTTGCCTATGTGCATGCTTTCTCATGGCTGCTTCTGACTTGCTCCTGAGTGTGACACCCCCTTGGCGCTAACCACAGACATACAGATCGCACAGGAAGTGTCGACTGTGCCGTTTTGATATGTACATATCAGATCGAGGCCAGGTTGGTATACTTATAATAGGATTTTTAAATATCTGTTAACTGATCATTTATCCTGGTAGTGAAATCTCCATGTCTGTGTTCCCAGCTCAGCCCACGTGACACTTTCTATATGAGGGTCCTGCTCTCCCTGTTGGGTTTTTTTTTTTTTTTATATATATATATATCACATCAATGGCATCCCCAGACGATAAAAAAAAAGCGGGAAAATTACGCCTTTGGGCTCCACCCAGGAATGAAATAACACTTTTCTAAGGAATGACCCTTTAAAATATTGGCCTGCTTTCCCTGGTGTGCATTGCTATGTTGCCCTGCCGGGGCGTGGAGATTCCTGCAACTGTATTATTTCTTGATAACAAAGCAAAAAACAAAAGGCACAATGTAAATCATTTTTATACATGTAACACTGAAGCGACACTGTTTTTGTCTCTTTATGAATAAAATTTGACTGTTATGAACTATGGCTTTGATTATTAAAGTTTTTACGATAAAAAAAAAATGTAAAGCCCAATTAAACTCATTGAGGGAAATGTATCAAATCTGCAGCAGCTGTGCATGGCAATCAATCAATACTGTATATGCAGCCTGACTATATGATAGTAACAGATACAGAGAGTTCAATGGGGGTTTAATACACTCACTGACCTCTGTAGCTGCAGGTACAGTGGAGCAATTCATCCTTAAATATCACAGAGACCCTGCAGTTGGGTTTGAGTCTGTATCTAACAGCTTAGTGCATCTGCTGGAAAGGAGCTGTGATTTTAGTGCCTTTGTTGTAAACATTGATCATAATAATATATGAATTATATATCGATAATGTGTTTTTCCCTGGGACTCAAAGTTCTTATTTGAGCTGCAGTTATGCAAAAGAGTCTGGTCACCTGTTCATCCTTGACCAGTGACTGGACAGTTAAAGAGCAGCAGAGTGAAGAGGTGATCTCTCTGCTCTCTCTTTCCATCAGCGTGTTCCTTGTCAGCACATGCTCATGTAGCAGAGCTTGATTTGCTCCCAGTACTGTTCCTCCCTTACCCAGTCTGATTGGTTCCCAGTAATGCCCTTCCCTTACCCAGTCTGGCTCCCAGTACTGCTCCTCCTTTACCCAGTTTGATTGGCTCCCAGTATTGCCCCTTCCTTACCCAGTCTGATTGTCTCCCAGTATTGCCCCTTCCTTACCCAGTCTGACTGTCTCCCAGTACTGCCCTTCCCTTACCCTGTCTGATTGGCTCCCAGTATTGCCCCTTCCTTACCCAGTTTGATTGTCT